AAAAAAAAAATAAGATGAATGATTTTAAGTTAAGTATATACTGACACATGCGTAAATAATAATATACTTATCTATTCGGTAACAGTTTGATTAGGTGTGTTTGAATTCGAAGGTTTGTTTAAGAGGTCATTCGCTAAATCAGTAACTTTTGGGCGAGAATTGGTTTTAAGATATGGTTTAGGGTTAGGTGTGGTTTTTTTACGTCAGGTGCTTCCTTTGACTCTTGTGGCTATAGTTTGAGCAATAGTGGAGGCATTTTGCTGATTTGTATTATTCTGATCTTTCGATTCCTATGAAAATTGCATTGGGCTGCTTTTTGTAATCGTATTTAATTTTTGGTATTCCGGAAATGAAACATTTCGTATATGAACTATGTTATCATCATCAGTAATCATGAGTTCCCCGTTAACATAGATTACGGAATCTTTCTTTATAACGGCTGTTGTATTCGTCAAATATTGTGCAGAAGTAGGATGATAGCACGTTAATTTAAGATTATTATAACCTTGGTCGACATAATTTTTAGTCAAAACATTAATGACTACATCTTCGTTATCGATTTCTGGGTCTTCTTGAACCAATGCCGTCATGTTAATTAATATCGGGAACGCAGGTAAATTGTTAGGATCAAGGGTATCAAAACGAACAACATCGTTCAAGGTAATCTTTTTTGTTGAAAAAAAAAAAAAAAAAAATTAACCTAAAAACCATTGTTAATAAAAATTAGGCAGATTATATTTTAAAAAATATTTACTTTAACTTTCGTAATCATATCTCGATAGATTTTGAAGCTAGTTCGATGATTTATTAATATTCAAAATAAAGTTTAATTTCTAAGCTTCTTTTTTTTTTGAATATCGAATTATTAAAATAGCTTAGAATTCATCGAGATATGAGTTACGAAAGTTAGATTTTTTTAAAATATAATTTGTTTGATTTCTATCGACAACAGTTCATTTATTCATCGATTAAATTTTTTATATTCATAACGATAGTAATTTATACTTTTAAAATAGAATATTTTTCATCATTTTGGCCGGTGCCTTCAACGATGCGAAAATTTCCAGTAGCAAGCACTACATCCTTATCTTCAAATTCAGGTAAATTTAATTCTTGAATAGTATCATGGTGATAAAATCCAGTTAAAATAACGTTCAAAGGAAAGCCTAGACTTCGGGATCTTACAATACCCGAAGCTTCGACAATCGAAAGACTTTTATTAGGAATTAATTTTTTTTGGTAACTC